CCACTCTCCACCCAGCCTGTACGTGCTGCTTCAAAGTGCTTTGTCAGAGACTTCCAACCCTGCCAAGGGAATCCATAATCTATGCTCATGTAACGCGGGCTCCTCCCACACTAGACTGCCATTCCACTGCAACTAAAATACCTTCCCAATGCAATAAAAGTATCTCAGACCCAAAGTTTATCAAACTCTCCTGCTTTTTAAACACAAGAGAGCATGAAGAAAATGTACACAAACAGCGTAGAAAACACCTGGCGGTATATCGGATTTGGAGTATGACCATGTTTTAAAATTACCTAGCAAAGTGCAGGCTTGCCTCGTGTTCACCATTTCCTTAGCATCATCGACACCATCGATCACAGGGCTTCCCCCTTGCTTCGTATAGTGAAAGTAGTTTGCATTCCCTGTAAAAGAAAAACCAGATCTGTCACGCGTGCTGATGCAGGAATTTACGGCACGTGTGTAACGATGAAATTGCTCCTGGCAGCATCCATGACTTGAAGCACGTCAGTACATTTTGCAGAGCTGACAGCAGCAGCACTTGGGAATTTTGTGGCAGATATTGCTAAGCTGTTACTGCATCAGGATATTTTACAAGTTCTATTTTACCCATTTTCTTCTCGTTTCCAATTTATGATCTGGTTTAGTCTTATGAGCATCTGGCTGAGCAGTCGTGGCTGGAGAAGTGATAGCTTCATTCCCAGTGGGCTTCACTGAGAGAGCAGTAGCCCTCCTGGGTACCGAGTGAATTCCTACGGTTCCAGTGGCCATGCTTCCAGCTGCACTAACAGACTCCTTTTCTTCTGCTCCGCTAAGATTTCAAGAACACTGAAAAAGGAGTCTGCTAAATGGCTTCTTTAGTTATAATTACATCAGTTCCTCTTTCCTGTGTCAGCAGATGTGAATCCTAAATGTGCCAGGATGGCACAGAAACGCTTTAAAACCAGAACAGTATTCCAGACATCAGCACTGGCAGGCTCTGCAGTTCTCCCACTCTGAAGTTAACTTTTAAAAACAGACCAGAAGCACTGAAATTTATACTGAATTTTCAAAATGATGAGGTGATTGCCCGTCCCAAGGTCACCATCATGCCTTTCTTTCACAAAGTACCAGTTTTATTAAATGAGAAACCTTTCCTTTATCAACATTCTGATTTGAAAAATGAAAAATTTCACTTATCAGTTTTGTGACCGCCAGAGATGGTTAAGTAACTGTTGGTTACAGCCCAAGTGGAAGTATGCAGATGCAAAATAAGCCTTTTGAGTGCTTATAACAGAAATAGTGCAATTCTCTAGTAGCTGGAGCCATGGAAAGAAGGTTTTTAAAGGACCAAGAAAAGAGAATTTCATCCTCACCACCGGAAAGCTACTTGGGAATCCAGGACACAGTAAGTCCTACTGATTACAGTGTCTTCTAGCATGCTGAATAAACAAATCTGTGACTTTCATTTTATGTAAAACCCACGAAGTCTGATATGTGTAATTTTTGCTATTTTCAATGTATTCTGTTATTTGGAGGTTTGAAAGTTTAGAATTTAAGAGGCAGCAATTCTTCCTTTGGTTCTGTGTCTCAAAAAGCTCAGAGATGCTGCTTTGTACCTACAATTGCACAACACAGTGAAAGTGAATTTCATACCTAATCGTAGAGTTTTAAACTCAGGTAATGCTGCAGAGGCACAAAGCTGGTAAAAGATGTGGTAATTTCTCTCCTCTTCTGCCTTTAAAAAGAAAGGAATTGATTATTTTTCACAACAAGTGCCAGAAACATCCACAGGTAGAAAAGAACTACTAGGCTTGCTGCCTTCTCTAGCATCACACATTAAGAGCACAGAAGCCACATGGAAAAAGGAAAGATAAATTGTCACCTATCGTTTCCGTCACGATTCATTTAATCCATGTTCAACAGCAAGAAGCATTTAAAAAAAAAAAGTATAATTTCACTTATGAGAACTGTGGATTACTATTAAATATAGATCAGGGTTCTATGGGTGGGTAGAAATGATCATATTTAAGAGCTTTTCATTTTCCAAAAATAACTAATACCATTCGCCTCAGCATTTGTAGTAAGCTGGTACAGGGAGTATCTTTCTTGCCAAGGCAAAGCTGGAATTTTAAAATGAAGGACAAACACAGCTCAGGAGGTTATGACTCATGACCAACACCATAATTCTGAACTAAATTTCATCACTTTAAAAAAAAAAATAAAAAACCAAACCCAAAGGGGGCTGGGGGGGGGGAAAGACTCTCTTCCAGCTAAACCACGTGCAAGAAGTCTCTCTTATTTCTGAGGTACACAACAGTTACGATGCAAATGACAACTATTTGATTCGTAACTTTGGGCAGCCAGACCTGGGTAATCCATTTGTACCGAGCTCTGGACCAAAAGGCAGGCAAAGACAGAGGGGAAGCGTGGGAGACAAAAAGGTGGTGGAGCAGTTCAGGTATGAAATACCAAAATGAGAAGTTCAAGAAAGGTGAAATTACACATTCTCATTTGCCTAAATAATGGCAGTTAAGACACACTCGCAATTATTGCGACAGCAGTGGGCTGTAACAAGAGCTTGCAAGCGACCCAAGGTGGCAGCTTTACCAACCACAACAGAGCTCTTCTTGAGCATCAGGGGTTTCCGCCCTGCGCTATAATACCACGGTAAGCACAACTCACACCTAGCAGTGCACTGGAGTACTTCGTCTTCGTGCACACGCAGCCTTCCCAAAATGCTCTGCACAAAGAGGAATAATTCAAGAACACGTACAAGACGACGAGTGCAGCAGTATTACCTGAAACACCACTCTGGATTTTTCCAAGAGGTAAGTTCTCATGTTAGCACCAATGATTCGATACCTCTTATCAAACCCAATTTCAATGTACTTCCCAAAGCGACTGCTGTTGTCGTTCCTCGTGGTTTTGGCATTTCCGATAGACTGAAAAAGGGGAATATTATAAAGGTTAAACAGCTTTATGAAATTATCAAATCATCTACGTGGCTCAAACACTCAACAACATTAATTATGTCCTGGTTTCAAAACAATCAAGAATTTAATAAAGAGCAATTGCTGCCTCATCAGAAAGTCACATCAAAATACGGTTATTTTGCTAATGCAGGATTGGGAGCTGATCCTCCTAGCAATGATGTCACTCCCACGTAGTCTAACGTTCCAGCTACAAATCCTTTATTGCTCTCTGAAGTCTTTTAAAAGGAATTCAAGAGTCCAACAGAACCCTCGCATACACCCAGATTTCTTTTAAGGACTTAGTAAAACTACAACAATTATTCCACCCTGTGTGTGTGTGTACAGCTGTACGTACAGGACTCGCAACCTCTCCAAGTCTACCTCTCGTAACCCCATTGTCCAGCAAACAGCCCCCGTGTTCCGTCGGCTTTTATTACGATCATTACTACTCTACCATCAACCACAGTTCCAAACTACTACTGCAAACGTATCATAAAATATTTACCCTCTGCCTAAATATAACCTAAAAACTGACCTGTGCAGACTTGTGTCACTTGCCTTCAACTGAGTCCGTCCCACTGCAGCTTGGTGACTGACTCGGAGAGTCTTCAGTGCTGCCCCACACGCCTGACTTTCTTAGGTTAATTCAGTACAGCTCATACACCGGAAAAAAATATTTAATGTGTTGCTTCTATAGTACATGGTCTTGGGATGCCCAGGGCAAATGGTGACTGTGGTTCCTAAATGCTCTTGGTGCCCCTTGGCCTTACCTCGCCAGCGTTCACCCCTCAACAGGTGAATGTATTGGAATTCAAGGCATGCAAATCACAACAGGTGGAATTCCAATGAAAAGGATTTTCTCTTCCCAATCAGACCATGTTTTAGACATCATACAGCAATTCACCTTCCAAAGAAATCCTAAAGATCTCTCAGTATCAAAGGGAATGGCGTTTGGAGTCACTCAGATAGAGCACGCTGCCTTTATCCTACGCCGCTGTCTGTGTGCTCTCAGGTACCTAACGCCAAGCGCACCGTAACCCAGGAGTTGTGTCTACGTCCTGGCTTCCGAGTTCACGGAGGAACTCTGGGATGCAAGCAAACTTGGGAAAGACAAACCAGAGCAAATAGGCGAGTATCAGTATTCCAAAGCCGCAGACAAAGGCGAGAGAGTGGCTAAGGGCTAGCCAGGTACAGCACAGGAAGCAGGGACTCAGCTTCCAGAAACCAATTATTGCTACTGTGACACATTTTGGTGGTGGTGGTAGCAATAAAATATTACATTATTTTCACAAACCAGTTATTACTTTCCAAGGTGTGTTACTTATAAAATCTGTTAAGAAAGTCTTTGGTATTACAAGATTGCTTACCAAGTGCATACTCAGCTGCACAACTTGCACAGTTACACAGGGTAACACAGAATGAGAGGCAGGGAATGATACAAAGATGAGTTTTTAAGACTTGACAGTTTCCACATTTGCAATAGGAAAACTGTACATAGTTACTGACTGCAAAACTCATTATTCAAACCGTTGCTAGTAATGTATGAGGTCACTTGATGTTACAGAGTATTTAGCAGGCAAAGATGATGTGAAATCCTGACAGTAATGATAGTAGCTCATGAAATGCTGATGTTTAGGTTATCCAAATAGAAATTAAAAGCCAAAATGACCTTCTGCTTCAAGATTTTACAATCAACTTAGCAAATGAGGAGTTTCTAGTCTCTAAAATTAATTACTCGTTTTCTTCCTAAGCTACATGGGTTAATTAGTATTTCTTCTGAATTATCAACCAAAGAGTTTGAAACATGAACTTTGCTATCCCAGAGTCTGTCTCAAGACCAGACTTCACAACACTCCTTCTAAAGCTTGTTTAAAATTCAGGTGTTTGAAGTTAAAAGGATAACTTTCATCCAATTATAACAATGTTCAAAGTAAGTGAAATTTGAGATATACCCAGGTTCATGAATTGTTGTCATCCCTAAAAAATAAAGCCCCACCATTGTTCTTACTGGATAAATGGAAAGTTTATTCCTCATCCTCAGTGTGAATCTGTGGAAATTAAATCGGACAACTCCTGGTGAGCTCATGGCCACTGACCAGGAGGTGGGGGCCAAGCAGTGGGAGAGAAGGATAGTTGGTTTAGGCCTTGAGACCAGACAAGAGACGTGGCGCAGGGAAACCCTTGGACAGTTTGTATTTCAGCAAACCAACAGCAAACTGCAGACCCACCCTGTGGGGTCTCACCGCCGCGGTCACTTGGCAGACGGGCGCTGAGGATGCGGCCGCCTGCCTGGCCAGGCACCACCTCCGTGACAGGCAGGGAAGGGCAGACCCTGGCCGTCAGCCACGCACCCATTCTCACCACAGCCAAGGTTGGCCCGACACTCAGGGCAAACCTTGGAGCAGCAGAAGGAGCGCTCTGGGATTAGACGGCTGCCAGGGCCCGGGATGCTCCCACTGAGGCAGGTGCAGCCAAAGACCAGCTCAGCTCCCTGGCAACCCCCAGCAGCTCAACACGGGGAATCCCACAACAGCAGACCCCACTGCTCATCATGGCACAGCTTGTTTCATCCCACAAAACAGTTTGAAAACACCACACAGCACCACAAACCAGGCACAATTACCTTGTGACAGCACACACACAACTGCCATGGGGCAGCTATAGTTTGAGTATCATGAACTTCTCTCAAGGAATTCCCCAAGACTGTTTCTCTCTGGTGAATCATTTCTTAACACAGTTCCTTAACTTCAGCTACAACTTGAATCTACGCAAAGGCAAAGGCACAAAAAACAATTCAGACGAGCCTAAGAAACGTTTTCTGCATGGCCGCGACATCAGAATTACAGCATCTCCTGAGCTTCCTGGAGAACAGAGGTCCTGAAGCAGGAGGGATCTGCACATGTTATCTCCCGGCCTGTTGCCAGCACCGACGCTCCCAAGCTTTGGGACTTGCCTACAGTTAGTTACACGAATTTCCAGTATAGAAACATTCGTCTGAGCTAATTATGGCAAGATTACGTCTTCTGTCGTTTTTCCCCTCTGAAAGAAACCGTGTGCGGTTCATGTAGCTTTGCCTTCACTGTCTGCCTTCCCCAATCCCATTTCCTAAAATTGAACATCGGCTTTATTCAACCTCATAGTGCACCTGCCCCGGTCTGTGCTGTACATGTTTGGTGGGTAAGACCAGAAGTTTTAATCCTCTTTGGAATTTGACACACAAAAGCACTCTTCTGCTCTTGCATTTGGCCTGTGGTCTGGGAAAAACCAGTGGTACAAAGCTGGACAGATTTAAAACAGTATTCATACAGAAAATGCGTTGTTATGTGAAATGCACTAACAACACTGAAACGTTACCTTCCAATTCTCAATCTTTCATAAATACTGCACAAAATGATGCCTAAAGCACCTCCTGGTAAATGGATTAAAAAGAAAATTGTAAAATATATTTATTCTAGGCTCTTTGATCCTTAAAACCAGTATGGATCGCTCTCTCCACTGAATGTTTTTGTTAACCCCAGCATAGTAAGTGCAGCTGGAAGGTGGGGGTTAGTGCAGCAGCTCTCTTACCTCCATGATGGGGTTGGAGGCCAAGACTTTCTCCTCAACGTTGGCTTCACTGGCAGACCCACTGACCGTGGCAAAGTACCGCATGGCATACTTAGCAGAGACGGTCTTTCCCGCTCCAGACTCCCCACTGACAATGATCGACTGATTTCGCTCATCTCTGAAACACAAAGACGTGTTAATTACCAGCCATTCTCCCAAGGGCACTTATTTTGTCTCCCCAACTTGGCAACCACCCCCCCCTGCCTAAATGTCAGCAACACTGCAACGGTGTCGAGGCACGTGGCAGAAACCAGGCCGGTAGCGACCGAGCAGCCGGCTCCCAGAAAACACAAGCAACAACACCCTGAGTTCTTTCTCAGGTATAAATAACACTTCGGGAGTTATTTTTAGCTAAATCATTAGCCACCAACCTTTGACCTGACCTTTTGAGCATTTGTCACCGGTCAGAAAAGATAATCTCCACTTGCCACTAAACCAATTTTCTCTCATGTCAAATAGGACTCTACCCATAAATCCCAACTGCATGAAAATAAACACACTACAAAACAACAAGGATAGAAATTAGCATGCATGTTGCCTGAATCTTTTCAAATAAAGGCTGTACATGTTTTATACAGTGTTTTTTATTTCCAAAGCAAAAGAAGTTAAAATGAATGGCATTTCAAAACACTCCTATGAGCTGGGTGAGGTTAACTTTATCTCCCACACTGGAAAGTAAAGAAGGAATACAATTTTACCCCAGAGATTTTCAGAGCTGGAACTGGAACACAGAAAGTCTGACCAAGCTGCCGACCAGGCTGCACTTACAGCACAGGAACTGTGACTGAGATTTCGGGCACACGCGTGTTCAGGCAGCACGTACACCATCTGCACGGCCTCCAAACGCCTGCCGAGGCCACCAGTAAATGCAGTCTGTGCAGGGGAGGCAAAGAAATGCGCGTGGAGAAACTGTTTGTGGTTTCTGTAGACTAAAGGTACTCCACGAGATCTGGGGTTCTCTTTCTGAGATGGCCAAAAAAAGGCTGCTGATGAAATTAAGCAGCTCAGTGACAGCTCACGGTGTTACTCTCAAGATGTTACCCATCTTCAGAAACATCCCCCGGCCCCCATAGAAGAGCGCGACTCCAATACCTACTGCGTGCTGCCCGAAGACGGAGGCTAAAGGAGCCAGTGGCTACGGCACGTGTCTCCAGCAGAGCCCAGGTGGCGTTCGTTCAACCCACTTGAAGGCATCGGCTGAAGCAGGTTTTTCCATATTTTGGTGAAAGGAAATGACTTTAAATGGCTGGGTGCTGCTTTAAATTTAACAGGAAAGCGTTAAGACGACGAAAGCAATTTTATGTTCTCGACTTCTGTATTACACGCACCACGTGATAGGTGCGAAGGACGACAGCACAGCTCACGCCCCCACAAGCACCACGCTCTCGGGCTCGGCGGGGGAGCCGTGGGAAAGCACAACCATTCGGCTCAACTCCAGGCTGCGGGCAGTCCAGGCCACGCAGAGTGAACGGCCGGAGTTGCCAGCCTTGGCCTTGGGAAAACGAACCCATCCGCCTCTGGGACCCTCCCCCTTCTCTTGCTTCTTCCCCGGTCCCCGAGTCCGCTGGCAGCGGGCAGGCACGCACGAGGGACAGCCTGCTCGCCGGGAGGCGGCACGAGGCGTACGGGTGCCCACGTTCAAGAAGAGCAGCCGAAGGACAGGAGACAAGTCCAGCCAAAGACCTAATGGGACAACCAGTAACAGCTGTCATCCCACGCAGACAGTTCCTGCAGTGGGTAAAAAATGGAGAACAGCTTCTTCACAGGGCTGGCTGTGCTCTTTCTTTTACTCCCCCACCGCTCCTTCACACAGAAAAAGAACCGACCGCACCATTGTATGAAACTTCTGGTCTGATTTCAGGAGCTGCCTGACCCAGGAGACGGGCAACGACATAACAAGCTTCTCATTTGTACATCAACAGCTCTGTTTCATGTATTAAATATCATTAAACACACAAAGAGTCACGAAGCTCAAGTCCTGTGAAACCTATCCTCTGATGATTAAGCCTATTTTTGGCCTAGTGCCCGAAGCGCGGAAGGCTCGCGGAAAACAAAGTAACGCAACCTCAGTACTAGACTTCTGACAAAACGGCCAACAGAGACAGCGTGGGCAGGAGAGTAGTGGCGAAATGAAGGTGTCTCACCCTAGCTGCCACAGCCCTGAAGGATGTGTGTGTGAGCGTGGAAAGCCCACGCCGGTTCCGCAGTCCCCAGTCCTGCCTGGGGAGCTCAGTGTAGGAAACACTGAGGGCACTGCAGGGAGGGAGCTCCATGTTTTCAAAGGAATAATGAAATAATGAGGTTGAAATGATTTCTCTTTAGGAGTACTGTTGTTAATTACCCGAGAGTTTCCTTCCCCCATGTCCTAAGACACAAAGACGTACCCTTCTCCTTCGCGCTCATGCATGTGCTCAGGGATAAGGGATGCACTGTGACATTACAGTGTAAGTACATCGACGCCAGAGACGATACGGCCGGCTCCGCGCGAGCCGCGAAGGCTGCTGCCTTCGGGCATCTGTGTCTGCACAGCTACAGCAATCAGGAGGAACAAAGGGCTCGCTCACCGTCTGAGCGGGCCCCCCGTGTCGCCCTGCCCGCCCTCCATCCGCGCTCAGAGCCGCTCTTGTCTGCGGAAGTACATTAGTCCATTGTTTCGCTTTAACACACTGGAGTGACCGTCCTCCAGCGTATTATTCTTTCTGCTTTTTGGCAGAGAGAAAGGAAAACACAACCAGACGGCCAAGATGCCACTCGACACTGGGAGAAAGGACAGCGTGACACAACACCCCGCGGGCCACAGCAGCGGGGGATGAGCTACGGCCACAACCTGGCGGAGACCTGGCGTACGGACGTCCTACCACAGCCAGCAAGATGCTTCGTCGTTCAAGAAGGAGGGTGGGGTAGTCCTGCCAGGCAGCTCTCCCATGTCATTAAACTTCGAAGAAACAGAAGTGCCACATTGAAAAGAAAATAACAAGGAAAAGAGAATCAACATACCTTGGAGAGCACATGAAATGTGGTGAGAATTATTTTTAATGGCTTGGTATTAGCAATGGACAGTCTAAAATACAACCTCTGCTTATGCCAAATGACATTTTCATTGTCAGGCTGCATTAAAAAAAAAAGAAAGAAAGAAAAACCACAACCAAACAGAAAACACCAAAACAAAACAAAGGAAAACATCCCCAGAAAACACAAGCAACAATACCCTGAGTTCTTTCTCAGGTATAAATAACACTTCGGGAGTTATTTTTAGCTAAATCATTAGCCACCAACCTTTGACCTGACCTTTTGAGCACTTGTCACCAGTCAGAAAATAGCTATAATTAAACCTTCCAGCCAATGGAACCAGTAAGTAGGGCAACAGCGTTACGTGTGACACCGACCCGATGCTCCAATCCATTACCTATGCAATACTACTTCACCTTCTTCTTGGGGGTGTTGGTTGACGGCCATTTGAACATGAGCCAGCAGTGTGCCCAGGTGGCCAAGAAGGCCAACAGCATCTTGGCTTGTATCAAAAACAGCGTGGCCAGCAGGTCCAGGGATGTGATTCTCCCCCTGTACTCGGCACTGGTGAGGCCGCACCTCGAGTACTGTGTTCAGTTTTGGGCCCCTCACTACAAGAAAGACATTGAGGTCCTGGAGCGTGTCCAGAGAAGGGCCACAAAACTGGTGAAGGGTCTGGCGGATATGTCTTATGAGGAGCGACTGAGGGAACTGGGCTTGTTTAGCCTTGAGAAGAGGAGGCTGAGAGGAGACCTGATCACTGCCTACAACTACCTGAAAGGAGGTTGTGGAGAAGTGGGTGTTGGTCTCTTCTCCCTAATGACAGATGATCAGACGAGGGGGAATGGTCTCAAGCTGCGCCAGGGGAGGTTTAGATTGGTTGTAAGGAAGAAGTTCTTCACCGAAAGGGTTATCACACACTGGAAGAGGCTGCCCAGGGATGTGGTGGATTCACCATCCCTGGATGTGTTTAAGAGACGGGTGGATGAGGTGCTGAGAGATATGGTTTAGTGGCGGACAGATACGGTTGGACTGGATGATCTCTAAGGTCTTTTCCAACCTAGTGATTCTATGATTCTATGTGAAATGACAGGCTGAGATCGCTCGCAATAGCAGGGGACCCGATTCCAAAATCTTCCATATCTATTCTCTCAGGCCTCTACTTTTAAGAGTCACGAGGGTAACAGCTAATTCTGGCCAAATAAAAGAACAGTAACACACTATGGAATAAATAACTGATGATTTAAAATAGTGTTATCTATCAATAAAATAATGCTGATGTTTAATTTTGAAAGGTCTTCTTCAGATGCCATATCCAAGCCACACGCAACTCCACTCCTTATGACAAGTAATGGCCACGGAATGAGCAATAAATGTCACTAATTTTTCATGTCATCACTCTGGTAAAGGACAGAAACAGATTTGGGTGTAGGCTGGTAAATTTTAAAGGCAATTTTCCTTTGCCTACAAAATGCTGCCAACGGGCAATATGTTGACGAGGAAATTTGCTGTCAGTGTGCCAAAACAGAATAGATGGAGACTCACCTACCCCCTGGAAGCTTGAGATTACAACCTACATTCCAGCAGACCTTTTATGCCTTGAAAAATCACTGCAAAATTCAACACTGAAGATTGCTGAACCTCCTTTGAGCAGAAGCTATGGGGAACAAAGAGTGCTACAAACTGACCTGAGACACCCTGCGTGAAGAAAAGGGTTCTGCAGAATATGAATGAAACTGCAGCGCAAAAGGAACCAGAAAGTGGTTTTAAAAAATAACTTGTTTTCAAGACGTGAAAAAACCCCTTGGTTGAGGATGTGCTTGTATCTTAAGGCAGTACTTTAAACAGCATTGACTACTACTAACTTTAAATCCTGTATTTGACAGAAATCCAAGGGAGATGCTTTCTGAAGGGCTCGGAATGGAGGAAACGCTACTCCCATGAGGCCACAGCTACCAGCTTCAGTGGAAGGAAGAGGAAGACTGTCACTGGGCACCTTCAATGTGTGCAGAGTGCTGCAGCAACACTCACTAATCACTGGCAGCTGTCAGTATCTAAGGCAGCTTTTAATGACTTCAGTTGATCAGTAGAAAAATAGAGGCAAAAAAG